TTATTTTAAAAATTTTGTTATATAACCTTCGTTTCTATGTATATTTTTATATAATCTATTTATTTTTTTAATTAAATGTTCATAAAATGTTAAAGCATATTATCTTGATATCTTATGAAATCACACGTAAAACAGTATATAGTTCGTCATTGTACGAAATAAAATCGATTTTTAATAATTCGATCTTAATAAAATCGATTTTTAGTCAAATTTATGACTAAAGTAATCGATTTTTTATCAAGCGGATCAAATTAATTCTATTATTATCATAAAATTTATTTTGAAAATTTTGTTATATAATCTTCGTTTCTATGTATATTTTTTGTGTAATCTATTTATTTTCTTAATTAAATTTTCATAAAATGTTAAAGCATATTATCTTGATATCTTATGAAATCGTACGTAAAGCAGTACATAGTTGGTCATTGTGCGAAATAAGATCGATCTTCAATAAATCGATCTTAGTAAAATCGATTTTTTAGTTAAATTTATGACTAAAGTAATTGATTTTTTTTCAAGCGGATCAAACTAATTCATTTATCATCATACAATTTATTTTTTAAATTTAGTTATATAACCTTCGTTTCTATGTATATTTTTATACAATCTATTTATTTTTTTAATTAAATTTTCAGAAGATGTTAAAGCATATTATCTTAATATCTTATGAAATCGCACGTAAAACTGTACATAGTTGGTCATTGTACAAAATAAAATCGATCTTGAAGGAATTCTGAGTATTCATTTTCTGCCGCAGTCTTGTATTTTCAAGCTGTCAGAATAGCATTAAGTTGACAAATGTCCTTTTCTTGAAAACACATCCCACAGTCATCTAAAACTCGTATGTTTTCTTGCCACGTCTTTTTGGAATATATCCATTAAATTCAAACCGGAAGTATGCCGCGAGTATTCTTTACTCTGGTGGAAATATTACTACAGATATACTTTTTCTATTACAAAATATTCAGACTGCAGGTTATTTTTCTTTTTTTTTTTTTTAAATTCTAGGATTCTCTTCTCTTAACTCAACCCGAGATTTCTCAGCGACCTAAAACCAAACCAAACTTTTAATATTCAATTCATTTTTAATTTAGAAAATTAATCTTAGAAAGTTTAGATCTTAGCGTCTTCCTAAACATATAAAAGAATCTTTTTGTATTGCAAATAAAAAATAATAAATTATAATATGTGTGAATTCCTCCAGGATAATTCCACATCAGAGGGATAAGTAGAAATTATAACTTAACACATGCTATATTGTATATATATTACATTATTAAATTATTATCACATTTGACACTAAGAAATTTCATATATATATATATATATATATATATATATANTAACTGTATGCTAAAAATGCCCTTTTTAAAGAGAAAATTACTTTTTATACTTTTTAAATGCATTGAATTAATCAAACAACATGAATTAATTTCACTATCCTAAAACTTGGAGAATATATAAGAAACTGAGTTACACATATTTTGTCCAAAGTATTTTCCAATCAATATTCAATTGAATATTATCACCAAACATAAAAAAATGACAAAATGGAGATCAATAGAGTTTTAAAAGGAGATATTTTAACCTACTTTTAATCCCCAAATATCATATCAAATAATCGCAATCTAAAAGCAACAAATAAAAAAATACATCATGAATCTTTTTTGCAACTATATCACATAAGTTTTAATTAAAATTGTTAAATATTTTGTAATAACTTTTGAAAAATATAGATCTCTGCCGAAATCAGCATGTTTTATAAATATTTTTTTTCTATTTTTGGAAGTCATTTAGCTAATCTTTTTAACTTCCTTTAGCGATAAAGGTCAAATACACTTTTTTTTATAAGTTAATGGTTTTCAGCTATTACTTTAGGTAAGGTAATTCCTTAAGAATTTTTTCTTAATTTTATCTATTTAATATAATATCTATTTAAAATAAATATTAAAGTGGATATCTTTTGCACAAAATATTGAGCCCAATTTAGACTGAAAATCTATATTAGTTTGAAAAACTGAAAAAGTTTGAAAAGATAGCAATTCTCAAAATCCAAAATAGAAAATAAATAATTTAGTTTCAGCGAAGCGAATGTATCGCAAGTCCTAGGATGAAATAACGTCACTTGAGAGTTGCAGCTTCATACGATCAAGTAAACGCAAAAAGAAAAGAAAAAGTATTGGCTTCACTTCTTTTCTTTCTCAACCGAGTTAAAGTCGTTTGTAATTTGGTTTTGGGTCATGTTTCCAATTTCTGTTGGCTCCTTTGAATCGGGTCCTCTAAAAAGAAGAAAATTTATACAATCGAATAAAATAAAGAAGAAGAGAAAGAGAGAAATCAAAGAGTTTGAATTATTTCGTAGTCTTTGAAAAGCATCAAATCAAGAGAAAGAAAGGAAATTGCGAATTTGTTGCGTTTACGTTTTCAATTTCTTTTATACTTTTTACTTTCAATAAAGTATTTCCGTCCCTGGAAAAATTAGAAAAGTTTTTATAGGTTAAATAGTTGACATCATTTTGCCTGTCTATTTTATGCAGCGAAAAAAACTATTTAAAAAATTGTTTGTATAAGTTTGATTTTGATTCTTAAACTATAAGAAAAGAAACATAATTCTTTCAAAATAAGAGGAGTTAGACTAGATGTTTTAAATTCGATAATTTTACATTTAAATAGTTTTAAAACGAATTGCATCAAACAATTTTGCAAATAACAAAATTAAAAAAACTTTTCACTAACCAGTTGATAATTCATTTTATCCCATTAAAAATTAATTCATAAAAATATTGATTTTTAGAAGAAGTGCTCGTCTATTCAGTTCTAGACAAAATATAAACTTTAACCTCACCAAATTAGTTACAAATTAAAAAAAGAAATATGATTAAAAAAAGAATTATGTGAGTGATATGACAATTGGATAAAGATAGAGCAATGACCCGATTCAATGTGGAATAATTGCTCTAATTGGAGTCTGTGGATTATGTAATATATTGCATATGTTACCAGCAAAGTTTGAAATCTGTCATTCTATAGAATTCCTAGGCATAGTACATAATGCCTAAAACTAGCCGGCAAAGTACGAAATGATTTATATTCCACACATTTCTTAAACATTCTAAAGAATGCCAAATGAGAAACCGGCAAAGTATAAAATGCATTTCTGATTCGTCAAAACGTCACTCCAAAATGTCAAATTCAGAACGTCGGTCAAGCCTTCCATGTTGCAACAAGTAGGTCGATTTCTTATTTTCTTATATAAAAATTTTGTTTCCCTTAACAAGAAAGGCATAAACTATGTTTTGTACAACTTTCATTTCTCTTTACACATTTTGAATAAATTTTTTTAATGGCACTTTCATTATTTTTTCAGAATAATATTTTAATTTTCATAAATGCATATATACAATAACCTCATCAGGTCGTTTTTTTATACTTTGCCTAAATGGCATTTGTCATTCAATAGAATGTCTAGTTATTATATACAATGCCTAGGAAAAGTATGTAATACTTCTCATATTTCATACTTTGCCTAAAAGCATCCGGCATTATATACAATGCCTATCATTCTATACATTGCCGGCGTTTCATACTTTGCCGTTAACACATACATGACGCGAATGATATGCTTCATCGAGGCTTTTAGCGATAGATTGAGCAATATGGTGGTTCAAAGCACAGCAATAAGTCTAATTGGATAAGTTGATTATAAAAGATTGTGGATTGGATATGCGTGTTAGACAGGGTTTTTCGCAATTCAACCGCCAAATTCAGATTGATAAGAGACATCAAGAGGATGAACACATTAAATGAAACGTGCTGTCGCTAGCCAGGTTGAGTAGTTGAAAATCACGGAAATACCGCGCATACTCTAAAGTAGAGAAAACGGAAGATAAGTCAAAGGTTTGTCTTACCTATATTAACCCCTTAACCATCGGTTAATTTTCAAGAAAACGATCATAAAAGTGCCCATTATTTTGGCCTTTGTATTTGTATTACGTATTTGATTAGTGCTGACATCTAATTAAAAACAAACTAACTATCTACAATAACCTTAAAAATAACCTGGTACTGCCATCTGGTGTGTAAAATGAGAAATAAAATGTTTTCCGGGCAAAAAAATTGAATTAGTTTTACTCTTATTGGCGCGTTACTACTGAACACTCTAACCTGGAAACATCACGGGAGCGAGAAATAGAAGGTGAAACCTCACCCCGTCATTTTCACGGGAGCGAGAAGGAAGGGATTAAGCACTTGTGTGCGCTACGTTTTGTAGGATTTTGTGATGGCAGGGTTCAAGCTAAATACGCACTTTTTGAGTCGTTGTAAACTGTGCAACAATGTCAGCAAGAGTCAGTTCAAACAACTTTTATTGTAAATAATCAGATAAATCATTTTTGTAGTTAGCGTGTTTACAGTATATTTTGTAGCTATACATGATAATGTAAACACCTCATCAGCTAGTTTAATTATAAATACGGAGAGTTAAATTATAAAAATCTACACGTGTCAAACACTCAAAAATTAGAACTGATTCTCAATACTTTTCAGGCGTGAATTATTGAAACTTAGGTAAAAATTAAGTGAAAACCTCCTGACTATGGTGAAATTTACCATGTTTCTGACTCCATGGGAACATAAAAAATTTCGGTAATGTTTACCGAAGCGCTTTAATAATGATTTTGGTAAAATGAACAATAAAATATAATTTTAAAATACGCGATAAAATTTGGTTAAATATGGTAGTTTTATCATGATAATTTAAAGCATTGCATAAAAACCCTTTATTCGGTTAAATTTGCTTTGTAGTTTTTAATTTTTACTAAATATGTTGTATTAAGTATTATATTTTCTTAAGATCAGAATTTTCTGTAAACCGTAAAAATATGAACAAAATTTTTTTTAAATGAATACCAGTCCTAACTTTATTTCTTTTACTAGTAAACTCTTTACCATGCAGTACGATAATTGTATCGATAATTTTACAGTGCGATAATTTTATCAGCGTTTTTTTTTTCTTCGTGCTCGTCCAGATTGATTCTCGTTTGGTGAGTCATACGAGCCCTTAAGACCGTGGACTTCTCCACTTTTTCAATTTAAGAAGTGTTTACATTATCAAGTGTATAGTACCACTTCAATTTCGTAGGACTAAAGTTTTTCACACTTGACGTTAAAGCCTCAATGGGTTTTTCGCGATTTTCACATTCTCTACCTGGTTTGCGATTCCCATGTTCTAAGGTAAGTTTTCAGCCACGTGATGCCTTTTCTCTCCCTCACTGAATTTTGTATTTGGTCACAAAACATCCTGTATACATTTAAGACTGTTCTTCGAAGGCTCTTTTGTCGCACGAAGTTATATATTTGTGCAAATAATACGTTATTTTCATAACTGCTTTGAGATAAAAACAGTCACTCATGGCTGTGTGGTCAACTTAGCCTCTCTTTAACCAGCACCCTCTGTGATTATTCTGAAAATAGCGCGAAACGTCATTATTGAGGAAAGCCACAGTTTTGGCAAAATGAAAAACATTTGTCGTCTAATTTTATAATATTTAAAAATTTACTTTTGCTGCATTACCCGGACTCTTAAAAATTTGAAGAAGAAAAATGGAATAAGAAATTGAGTTTGATCGTTTTAATTTAAGCGTAAAAATGTTGCCTAATTGAGATTTTGAAACAAAATTAATAACTTCTAAAACATTTAAGTCATTTGTCCTTTCTAAAGATCATATGGTATAGATAGCTTAAATTATAGCGTTGCTACAAGTGTAAGGTTCTTAAACTTTGAAATTCTTTATTTTCCTTGGCGTAAGAGCTTCAAAAACCATGTTAACTATTAAATACAGAACGGATGCCCTTTCGAGCATGAGATGTGGTTTAGAAGTTTATTCTCATTTATTCTTGCGTTAAACTAATGGAAGTTTGAAAGGGTTTTTAAATGGTTTTAAAAGGAAGTAACGCTCATTAAAAGCCGGTTTACTTCAAAGTATTTAATAGTCAGGAGTAATATATGATCATCTAAAGAAACTCCTATATTATTTTAGAATTTTCGTTTTTGCATATATTTTTCCAGATAATGGCAAACTACTGTCATTTGCTCTTAATATATCAAAAACTTTAGTTTCACTAGATTTTATCTACGTTAATATTTACTTATTATCAGGTTTTTACGCGTTTAAACTATTGTAACTTCAGTGATCTCTGAAAAATATTTTTAGCTAAATCGTAAAGCTTTGAAGCTATGACATTTGTGCTTGCAAAGTTTTTCCCAATCAACTTTTTCATATAAATATTTATAAAACCATTTGTGGTTATAAGTTGCAATGTAACACAAAACCGAGAAACGTTTCTTAAACTTTAAGGAATAAATCTCAAGAACGATAAAAGCAAAAGCTGTTAAAACGTTAAAACTCTTTATAATATTAAAAATATTATAAGCATATACTGCTGAAAAAAACTTAAAAGTGACGTAAAGTTGATCACAGAACCACTTTTAAGCTTTATTTGGCAATCATGCAGATTCTGTAATTTTTAGTGAAGCTTTCATAGTAATTAAACTTCGATATTGGTTTGTTATATTTTTAAACTTACGTTTATATTGTTGTCATTACTGTTATAAAGATTAATTTGAGACCCTTTTTGTCTAAGTATTTTTACCTCACACAGAAAGTACTATAAAAAAATGAAATTTGCATACTCTGAAAGACAAAAAAAATGGTTTTATGCTTTTTTTTAAAAGGGAATTACTTAATATTGTGTTAACTTAATTTATTGTGCAGAAATTTTTTGAAATAGAAAACTTATGCATTTATAAACTATTTAATTTGCTTATATTTCTTTATACAAAATGAAAAACAAATAATAAGTTAACTTAAGTCAATTATTTAATGAAAAAAGGGATTGACATTGCATCATTATGTTTATTCACTAGTCTAACGGGCTTAAATTTAATATAAGTATATTTTATTTAAATACTAACAAGCTTAAATTTTTACAGTATAAACACGCAAACATGCTTTGTCTGTATTTCTTTCCAATTATGAATATTGGAAATTTCAAGAAAAAGTACCAAAACACTATTAGGACAATTTATATTCAAGCAAGCATGAAATTGCCATTTCTTACCAAACAGGAAAGTCCCCTCTTAAAAAGAGTGAAAGAATTATAGGCAAAAAATTTTCCAATCTAATAAGATAAAACTATTCATTTTATTTTTAAAAAAATTTTCTTTTATTCCAATTCACTTTAGTTCTATATCGCCGTATTTTCTTAAAACAAATTTCGATAAAATAAATTATTTTCAAGTTACATAACTTTGTGCAAATGATTATACTTGCTTCACTTTCGGTTTAACTGTCGAGCACATTATTAAAATTCATCTGAAAAACTTAATTCATTAAATGAAAATACATCAGGTAATAATTAGGGAAAACGAATTAATTATTCAAAAAATCTACATTATTACTTCGAATACTGCAATTCAAGTGATGCGTGTTTTAAAGAATAAATCATTAAACAAAATCAGCTTTTGTTGCAAGGACATAATTTTCGCTGTGAAGCGAATTTTATTTCCTTTATTTAATTATGCATTACGCATTGGGTTTAATAAAGGGATTTTTATTATTTATGCACATATTTATTCAATGACAATTTAATTTTAATGAGAATATAATCTAAAGAAAATACTTAATTGACAATCTATTTTATTAATGTATTTTATAATTATATTAATCCATTTAGATTAATAATTCTCATTAAAACAAATTTTAGTTCAAGACTAGTATAAGTCTGGTATTTATCAACAATATTTTATGAAGTTATTTGGCTATATGTATTGTTTATAGAACGGTACAAGATATATCAGAGTATCTGTATTAGATACCTACACTAGTATAGATTCAGTCAGGGGAAGATGTGCATAAATCACAATTTCATTTGACCTATAGGGTGGGTTGAAGGGCACGTCAGCGTAAAGAAAGCCATTAAAAAAAGCAACAGAACAGTATAAAAATACGAAACTGAAAGGAAAAAGCTTGTTTTATTCACTTTAGTAAATTTTAATAGCGTTAGAAAAGGTAAAAAGGAATGTGTTGTTCGATGTTCGAAATGCTGATAAGTCAGGTGGGGATCAAAGTCAAATTGTAGATAATTGTTAGCAATTACGCATTTGTAGTTAGCCATTTATGACGCAACTTATTCAAAAGTATTGTTTGGTTAAGAAAATCAGAGTGCAGTCACTATTAGTTTAAAAGTGCCAGTCTTACCCGATATAGTTTTTATGTTACGCATCGCAGCATCATATATTCAAGTGAAAAAAGCTGAAATAAAATTCCTGGATTAACAGGAGTTATCAGTGATTTCTATAAACACCCTGAAAGATATTTTTTTGGATAAAAAGGAAAAACCTTAAATTAGTTTGAATGAAAATTGATATTTCGAAATTACCCTTCAATTTTCTTCCAAAATCACTAATATAATCAACATATTTAACAAATACAAAAAAACAATTTTAACGGCTGAGTCAAATTATTTTACCGCCATCCGAGAATTGACATTAACAGAAAAAATCGGACAGAAACAGAAAAAATGAGCTCGAAATTTCGGCATAGATCTCGAACTTTGACAGTTGATTAAAGATAACTTTGGACTCCAGAAACTTATCTCAACAGAGAAACTTTTAATAAACAAGGCTTCTTATCTCTAAGTGCTACTTGGTATTTGTTTTGATCAGAAAATTTGAGTAAAAGACAGCTGGAAGTAAAGTGGAGGAGACGACAAATGTGTTATTTTATTCGTTTCAAGCTGAGAACTAAAGTTACAAGTACGTAAGATGAATTGTGTCCATCTTTTACACGCACCATATTCATCCTCCACATAATGTACCCATCTTTCTCACATTAAGAACCTGAAAGATATCTTAATTTGTCAGCTCGTTTGATCTATAAGTTACATATATTTTTGAATAATTCAAAAGAAATGTACCCAGCATATTTAGGAAGGTTCACGGGTTGGTTTTGCTTATTGTTTGTTACTTATTACCATTATACATATTACATTTCATCACAATACCAAAAGTGCAATCATTAAGCATTAGCGCCACCAATAACATTTAATGGCCTCCGGAAATGGAATAGTACCAAAAAATCTAAATAAAAGGCTCTTCTTTTTGGTAAATTCCATAATATCCGACCTGCAATCTGTTTATGTTCATTATTTCAAATATTCAATGCAATTCTTGGCTATTTAAAATTAATTAGTTAAATAATTTAGGGATATAAATAATTAAGCTAAATGAAAATTTTAGAAACTATTATGCATCAAAAAATACGAAGTAGAAAAAACCGAAGAAAAATTTTCGGATGAATCGTTTTTGAAAGACATGGGAAAATACTTTATTAAATCGAAGTTATTCTGAAAACATCAAAAATTTTCATTTAAAATAAATTTCATTTGTTGATAAAACTGCTATAAATTCGGTGTATAGTGCTAAGAGAAAAGATTGAACTTATATTACCATCTAAGACAGAGCCCCAATGAAAGTTTTAGGGCCTTAACTACTCGGAAAGGAATTGTAAATAATTTTGACAAGAACTTCTTTTTTGGTGAAAATATCGCAATAAATTCTACTTGTAAACATCCGAAAAAGTTTGAAATTTGCATTGTAATGAGACTCAAGGTTCTAATTAAAAATTGAGTGTTCTAGATAGTTTAAAAAGTGGGCGAATTTTTTATTGTAAGATTCTCCCGTCACTCACACAAACGCGGGTTGATAAAAAAATGAGTTTGAGAAAAAATTGTTATAGACATTGTTTCCCGAAAGACATGCTCAGAATATTTTAGATCTCTTAAAAAAAACACTTTCGCTTCTATAAATATAGATGCGTTTTATTTTGTGAGGAAATGTCTGTTTTAGAAAGTTTTGGATATTCTGAACAGCAAATGTAAGAAAAAAAATGTAATGTCGAACATATTCTCCAACTAAAGATTAAGTCCTTCTCTTGGGTTTTAAAAATATCATAGAAATTCTGAGCATAAAGTCATTGGAAGAGAAATTATACGTTTCTTGAGGTTTCGATTAAAAGTACCCAATCATTATGTTTTTTTCTTCATTGTTGGAGAAAATGTTTTACTAAAAATTACTTTCCCTTTAAAAAAACATTTTACCGAAGCATTTTGAAACGTCAAATTTTTTTATATTAGAGTAAGACAACTGTACTCTAATATAAAAAGTAACGATT